TCCGTGAAAAAAATTTCACGAGAAATTGCTTAATCATAGGGAAACTTTTCTAGGTCATAACTCAGCTCACGTGAGCATTTTGCTGATTTTTTAACAGATTTGGAATCCTCATAAGCTCTTCTATCTGCTCCCAAAATTTCAAAAAAAGTTTAACCCGCTCCCTCAAGTAACTCCCTTGTTAGAAATTCAGTTTTTACAATTTTAGAAAATCTCGAAATTCAAAAAAGTCTAAAGTGTCGAAAAATTCAGAAACTTGAAATTCCATAAAAAAACGAATATTTAGGAAAGTTGAAATTTTCAAGAAATCCAGAATTTTCAGAAAACCAAAAATATTAATTGGCTTAATTAACCAAAAATCAGAAAAAAATCCGAAAAAATCCATCATTTGATTTATTGGAAAATTGCGTCGAATTGAAAAAAACTGATTTTTATGTTTTTTGATTTTACAGCTATTCAAAATTTCAAGTCAATTGAGTTATTTTGAACAAAGTTATGAATGTTCGAAAAAATTCTCCTCACCACTTCTCGCCACTGTATCTCGATTCCTGTGAAAGGTTCAAAAAGTGGCCAACTGATAAAATGCTGCTGATAATATGATAAGAATTTTGTCAGTTGACAAAATTTTGATATCTTTCACAGAAACAAAGATATACGGGCTCAAAGTTGGGTGGTTTTTTATTAGAGTATTTACGGTAGTCTCTAAACAGAGGTACAGTAATCCTTGGAAGTTTTTTTAAAAAGCTTTTTTTTGCGAAATTTGGTACAGTATCCTGAAAATATCCGAAAATTTCGAATTTTCAGAAATTCGCCTCCAAACATCCGAACGTCTCCGCCTATCGTGCTGACATCTACACACTGATGGGCGTGGGAAGGAAGAAAACCGCACAGTTCCCAACGAAACTCATGTTTGCAGGTTGGTTTGGAAGTTGGCTCCTGGGGACGTTTCAGAACCCGACGTTTCGCACGCGACGTTTCAGAACTTTTCTGAGATTCATAGTGTCTGAGATTCTGAGATTCTAAGATTCTGAGATTCTGAGATTCTGAAATTGTGCGATTCTGAGATTGTGAGATTTGCAGATTCTGAAATTCTGAGATTCTGAGATTCTGAAATTCTAGGATTCTGATATTCTGAGATTCTGAAATTCCGAAGTTTTGAAATTCTAAAATTAAGATATTCTGAGATTATGATATTCTGAATTTTTCCAGTTGCGTGTTACCCGACGTCGTTTCGCAACCCGACGTTTCAGAACTATTCTACAGTTGTTTTAAATTTTTCGAGATCTCAAAACCTATCATCATTTGGAGTACGATAAATGTAGGAAATTCTGAAACGTCGTGGTTCTGAAACATCGTGGAAGTTAGGATTTTCGAAATGAACGCTTTTTTCCTAGACTACCAAAAAGAGGCTCCAGAAGGCCTTCGTCCGTGGACCCTGGAATCTTCAGAATCCGATGAGCAACGTCTCCGTCGACCGCATCTCCTCGCCGTCCTCCCTACCGTAACCATCCAAAAAACCATCGTCGACTCGCTGATCCAACACGCGCTTCTCCATCACTCGGGTCTCGACACGAATACCGTATTCCGATTTGGAGAGACCAATCTGATGACGTTCTTGTCAGCTGGGATCTTATCTCAATTCATCTGCAGCTCTGATGATCGTCTGGGCTTCTTATCCCATCAACATCGCCGACATTCGGCACTTTTTCAAAGATTATTCGATTTGAAAATTTTGGGATCCGCAGATCCTCCGTGTGGATTCAAATCCACATCGTTCCATCCCCAACTGCCGGCCAGTAAGAAGGTGACACATGAAAAAAAGTTGGGGGAATTGAATCTCAACATCTCGCTACAGTATCCCGTTCAAATTTCACCGAAACGCCACGTGGCAATTGGTGGAACATCGATAAGTGGAATGGGGAGAATTCTAGTGGACTATGCGTGCTTTCTGACACAAATCGGACGGCAGCCGAATGCGAAAAATGTGGAACAGGTGGTGAGGTATGGACATCTGGACGAACAGATTTCGCAATTTTGATTTTTGGAGTTTTAGAATGTCATTTTGAAGTGGTAGCC